TCCTTTTAATGCACATCTGTTTATGAAACTGAAACTATGAAAAAGAACATGAGATTTATCAGTAGTCACAATATAGAATACCTTGATGACTCATGAAATTCTAAAAGCTACATGCCCACTTCTATGCAGTCTTTTTCTTTTTTAAAAAAAGAATAAAACTATTATATCTAAAACTATTACTGGTTATGAATCACCTACTCAATCACTACAATTTCATTTAAACTATTAAGATCATTAACATAGGAAGTGATCAGATGCAAATGATTCATAACCTAATATCAACTTATAATAAGAATTGTCACAGCTGATGACTACCATTCACAAAAATAGCAACTTTGAAATAATCAGCGGAAGATGTGAATCAATTAATACTGATTGATTGTGAAGAAAAAATATGTCAAATATATCCAAAAATCATATATGAATCATAACACAGATAAAATTTTCTTACATTTAAACACTACAAAGTAAGAAAACGGTAACTGCATACCATATCAATCAAATTTCGATGACAAATGGCCAACAAACAAGCAACCAAAATAAAAGAGATGCAACAAAGGCATATGATTTAATTACCAAGTTAAAGGCAATGTATCTATTTTATCTACCATAAAGAAAATCATATCACACCTGTCTTTAACGAAGTACTGAACACCAAAAAATGACACTCAATTAAAATTATTCCAATCAGTAACACACACAAACACATATATATATGTTACTGATTGGAATATATATAACTTTTTCACTATGTGTTGAAAATTCCTATTAAAATTACATAAAATATATTATAAAAAGTGTTAAGTGATATAAATTATTATTTAGATTCATGCCTAACCTTAGAAAGTGTAAAACAATAACAATATCCATGTATATGAAGGTATCTAAATTCTGATACAAATGATGCAGAAACTAAAGATTTTTAAAAATTGGAATTAAATTATGTAACTGTAGATGCCAAAAGCAATGAATATAAAATGACACATCAAATTAAAAATATGAAACGCATGATCTACAAATTGCAATTAAATTAAAATTAAATTAACAATTTATTTTTTAAAATTTACAGCTGAAAGAATGTGCTTAAGAAAAGGTATAATAATTAGTTCTGATTCATTCTTTGACTAAAGAAAAGCGATAATTTACATTATGATAATGCATAATAATACACTCAACACTCATTACAATGACAAGAGCAAAATGTCTCCAATGAGCAAGGATATATTGAATTCATTTTTATTATAGCAAAACCGCAATACTGTTTTTCTTTAAAATACAACAGCCCATTATAACAAGCATCAACTGTATGACAAATACACAAAATTGCATTCAGTTCTGTAATCAGCGATTAAATACTTTTAAAATTCCTAAAAATGAATAGGCTGAGCAAATATGATTATAACCATCAAGGATAAATCTGAATTGTTGTTAGTTCCATCCTCCAAATAAAAACCTTAGCAAATTTCTATTGGTTAAATATCAATACTTCCTGGGCTAAAAACAAAAATGCTGAAATTAACTGCTTCAGAACTTCAGAACTAACTGCTTCTTTGAATGCTCAACATATTTAATAGGGTATTCTCTTAAATCATTAACAATTCATATTCGCATACTCTTGATTTAACATACAGTATAATTTTTATACACAATTTATATTATAACAGAACATGTAATTTTTACTTTCAACATATATAAATTGAGGGAAAAGCATACTGAGTAGAGGGGGAAAAGTATTGAATATCATACTAAGCATAAAATAATCAGCATAAAGCATAAAAAAACAGCATCAACAGTAAAATTCTCAAGATTAAAAAAAAAAAAAAAAAAAAAAAAAAAAAAACTTTAAATGAATAAATTATATTAAAAGTTAACTATTTAATAAATCTGACTTATCTGAACATTTAATATAAAGAATTAATTAGAAGTCAGCTGAGAATTTAGGAATAATTTTACAGAAGAAATTAAAGCTGCTTTAAAAATATGATTAAAGGAGAAATAATATTTAATTTATATTCATTATAATTTACATTAATTGTAACTGAAATACTGCATCTGAAATACCACAATCAATTGTCAGGCAGTAAAAATGAGTATACTACTCATATGTGTATTATATGAAACTTTATTTTAATTCACAATAGGATATCTTTTCCTCCCAAAATGTGAAGACTTACAATAAAAATAGATTCTGAAAATTTTAACTGGCATTTGTTTGCTAATGTTTTAAAACATTCTATTATTAAGTACATTTACCATAATGAGTAGTTTCCATAATCATGTAAATGTAGCATAATATCAAAGCTTATTTGTGAGTTATGGCTTGCCAAGAATGAAGGAAATTTTAATTAGAAAATATTTTGCTACATTTTTAATGCATATTAAGCTTAAAATATCATACATTGTGCAGATTCAATACATAAATTTCTACAATTTGAACAACAGAACTTGAAAATTACTCAAATAACACAGCTGAAGTATAAATACTAATATTAAAATTACATAGGTACAGTCAAAATTATATTAGAATTGAAGGGGATGTTTTGAACTATGTATTTTCTCATTTACTTACCATACTTTTCCCATTAGAAATTAAATGCAAACATAAACTTTTTCAAATTACATATTTTAAAGCATACCAGGCTCCACTAGAACTGACAGTAATATTTAGAAGTATAAATAATTTTTCTGAATTTTTGTTTACTTTTTATAAAAGGAATAAGAAAATTTATTTAAATTATGACATATCATGATTTTATACTTATATCTGAAAAAGATCACAAGCCTAAAAGAAGTTTCCTAAAAACAGTTTCTATTAATTTCATTTAAAGTTTTAATATATATATTCATATAGCTGTAACTCTGAAATAATAGACAACAGCAGCAACTTGATAATTTGTCATTTACTTCACAAAATGTTTGAGAATATATATTAAATCCTAAAACATACTGTGAAATAAGCATGTTCTAAAATTAATTTACATAAAATCTGTATTTCAGTATTTCTTAGAGTAAACATAGATTAAAATGATATGCAGACAACATGAATACCAAAAACTTTAATGCAGTTAAATACTATAATAATACATATGTATTGACAGATGAAAACTAGCCAGTGCAATTGCATGTTAAGCATACTGACCTCAAATGCCACAGTCATGAATGATATATACAGGGAGAAAACACTTCAATTGTTTAAACATGTTTATCTGAGAGCAAAATATCATAAATTAAGCAATTTTTTTTAAAAAGAAGGAATTTCCTCACACTAAATACTATTTTGCATAAGTATCTGTGAAATAATATATTTTTGATTTAAAATAAAATTCACTACTTTAATATAATCATGAAACCTTTTATAACAGATGACTGAAGAAATGAATTACTTATAAAAGTATCTGTGGTAATTTTCATTACGCTTTCAACTTTATAAATGGCAGGAAAAATATTAATATATTTACAAAAAGAACGTAAGTAAAAGGATACTCTCAGAACAAAAATTTTTCTACCGAATCACAGATTGAATACATTTAATGTATTCAAAAGATTTGAAAATACTCTTCAATGTAAAAATTCATAAAAATTAAAAGGTTAAGATTTAGTTTATTTCTGTGCTTATAAACTATTATTTATTCAAAGGATTACATGCTGACAGAGAAGAAATTGACAAGAGAAAAGGCTAAATATTCGAATACAGAAAGTGAAAAATTTTGAACAAATGAATGCTCAGGTAATATTATAACTTTAAATTTCTCGATGAATAGTGGTTGATAAAGCTTTATCACTAAATGCTCAAAAGAATTATCATATGTCATATGATTCAAATGCTACATATGTGTATAATTACACACTTCCTTTTAAAAAATATTTATGAGAATACTTTTTCATTTACTTTTATTTAATAAGTTAAACTCGCAAGCTCATAATATTTTAGTCTCACATGATTATACCCCTTAGCTCCATATAACACACGCATTTGTTTCACACGAACAACTGATTCGGATAATTTTTTTGCCCGGTTTATTATTGAAAGAAAGATGGACGATTTTTTCCTTCCTTTCGAAAAAAATTGCAAGTTGTTCGTTTTCAACCAAGTTGTTCGTTTTCAACCAATCAGCTATCAGCTTGTTTGTAATGCAGAACCAGTTTTCCCCGTGTTAAGCCCAAAGTGATCCGTTGTGACAAAGCAGAAAAATGTTTCCAAACAATTGTTCTTCCGAAACAAACAGATGTGTGATAGCAGTCTTAATATGTAGTTAAAGGGTACACAGAAATATGAATTATTTCATAATTTGGCAAATTATGAAGTTTATATCATATTTCAGTTTAAGTTAAAATATTGCGATCCTGATTCCGACATTTCAATAAAAATAATACTTTACTCTCTTCACATTCTTCTGAAATAATCAAAAATGTGAGTGAACAACTGTGCATATGACACAATATAAACAAATTAATTTATTACAATAAAAGAAAAATTTTTACTACCTTCATAAATAACATTTTATGCAGCAATACAATATGCCAATTTAATGGCTGATCTACAACTATCCGATACAAGTTACAAATGCAAGAAAAATTATTAAAAAGTTTTTTGATTGAAAAAATATATTGTTTTTAAAAATTTTAAAACACTGAAATGATAGTAAAAAAGCATATATTTTTACTAGAGGTATTAAAAGTTCACAAGCACTTTAGTGAGAAGAAATGCATCAAATTCAATCTTTTTTTTTTTTTTTTTTTTTTGGAAAAAATAAATACCAACATTTTACTATTCCAAAAAGAAAACCCACATTATAAATAGAATGAAGAAGATAATTTATAATCACATTGCCTTGTATTAAGGTGGGGGAGGGGCAGTGAGAAAGCATTCTCAAATCCTTAAACAACTGAATTTTCAGAAAATGATTTAATTATATGAGAATGAATATATCACTATGAATATTCTAAATGCTATATACACAGAAATATTCACCAGAAACCAATCTTAATCACCAACATACATTAACAGATCCATTTCTTAGAATAAAAATATTTCACACTTCAGTCAGTTCACACTTTTTTTTACAACACAATTCGAACTGTCAGAAAACAGTAACTTCACATAAAAGGTTATTCAGAAATCAATGACACCTGGATCATAGCAAGGTCCAGCATGTACCTAAGAAGGGAAAGGCAGAACAAATAGATAATTCATCAGCTAAACATTACTGTTAAGATGATAACAGGCAAAATATGGTTATATTACTTTATTTAGCTAAATTTATTTTTTGCTCTTGAAAAGATTTTTAATGCTAAAAAAATACCTAGCAAAACTGGCACCTGATATGGCAATTACAATGTACACAAAAAGCTAGAATACTGACAAATAAAAATCAATACAAAAGGTTATAAGAAATGCAGCAAAAGACAAGGAGATTGTATGCATGGCAGCAGTGGCATAGCTAGGGTGGGGCAAGTGGGGACATCTGTCCCTGGGCGCAGCATCCAAGGAGCACCAAATTGATACTATGAAATTTTTTAATAAAATGTTTTCCATTCTTGGAACACAGAAGATGTGCAAATTCTTCAGTTGTCCCCAGGTGCTCGAAACTCTAGCTATGCCCCTGCATGGCAAATGATATTCACTATCAAAGTATGCTGCAATGTTCAATTGCTCAACGAGCAATTCATTTATAACTTTTTGTACTAAAAGTATAAGGTAAAAAAATGAGAATGAAATAATATTATTGTGTTGTCCAGTGTATAAGTCAAGATTTTAGGCCAAAAGAAATCTGACTTATACACCAGGCATAATAGTTATAAATAAAATATCATAATGACTTTTATTTACAATTATTAAACAAGTTCATGATAATATTGAATGAAAGTCACTAATTATATGTTTGTTACTCTAAATCAGTTTCATAAACTGTGGGTCGGGACATCCATGGGGGTCGTGTGACCTGCAGCAGGCTGCTCGCCAAAAATGTTAACAGTTTTGATATTTTTTTAACTTATTACATTATAATAATTTTACAATTACCAAATATTTTTACACAATGTATCTGAAAACAGATAAAGATAAGACAATACAGACAAAGAAAAAACGTAAATGTTTCAATGCATTCTTTTTATAATATAAATGTTCATTTTACTTGCTTTGCAAGCGATGCTGTCATTTCGTCTGTTACTTATTTAAAATTTTCACATTGTTCTATGTCAAAGTTAATGTCCTAAAACTGCTATAGTACATTACAGCACAAGTGAAAAAATCGAGTTTCATTGACACGTTTATGGATTTGCTCAATGTTTATGGGGTCCTACAAAATTTTCGTAAATATAATGGGGTTCTAGGGTTGCGAAAAAATCTCAATGATAAAAAGGGGTCGCGACTGAAAAAAATTTAAGAAAAAAAAAAAAAAAAATAATATATTGACTTACAAACTGAGAGAAAAAAATACTGTATGAAAATTTTATGAAAGAATACTACTACTACTAATAATAATAATAAAAAAACAATAAAAGCCTATTCTGCTGTTGGAAAAAAATTTCATTTTTATTTGTTAGTTTGTTGAATGATCTTTAAATTATAGATGTAGATATAAAATGAATTGTCACCATTTAAAATGTTCATTTGTTTCATTTTCATCTTTTGCAATAGCTATATCATCACTATACATTTTTTATTCATAATCGATTACAAAATCTGTCAATACCCTTAAAATCTTTAACATATGGAATAAATTCAGTGCATTTGAAAATTTGTTTATTTTTCTTAAAATCCATAATTTTCAACACATCAACATACTATACCAATTTCAGCAAGCTTTTTAAAGCATTTTTTCTTTTGGTCTTGAAAATTTTTTTGTTCATATAAGAGTTTTAAGATGCTACACAAAGATTGATTTGTACACTCGATTTAATTAAATTTAACAATTATTTGGATAAAATACTAGAGTAAATTTGTGTGGTGGAAAATACAGCAATTCATATAAGTTTCAGTTATAAGCAAAAAGCTCACTACAGGTAAGAATAGTAGAAATAAACAGTTATTTTTTTCATGATATGGAAAAGAGTGGATCAACACTTTAAATTTACGATTTACGAAAATAAATTAAGGAGCTGTTATAATAAAATCAATATTACATGAAAAAGAATATACCGTATAAAATGGCTAAAAATATTAAATATGAAAAATAAGATATTTACAATTATTATTTGTATTTTTAAAGACAATGCCTTTGAAATCAATATAAAATTTCTTATATTTTTGAGGATTCTTAACACTATAACTGAGGATGGGGTCATTTTGACCAAAAAGCAATTTTGTTTTCGATTTTCTCAAAAAGTTACTAACAGAATTGAAAAAAAATTTCTTGACTTTTCCTATTTTTATACCAATAATAATCTGTAAAAATATGATACGTTAAATACTTATCATTTTTTTGTTTTTAATACCTATACCTAAAACCGTGGAATGGGTCATTTTGACCCCATTATAATCACAAGTACTAAATTTGCAATTCAACATTTCCTGGAATGGGAAAAGCTTTTTCAGTCCTCTTTCCATTTCCCAGATGTAAGCAGATCAATACTTCAAGGTCAGTAGATTGTTACAGATAACAGAAGAGCAGCTGAGAATTTTGTTGTAGTACTAGTAGCCAGTGTTGCAGACCCCCCTCCCCTCCCGTTATCATTCCGTATGGGAAAAATGCCTCTGGTTAGCATATTCAAGAAATGTTTTCTCTCCGATGTTTTTTGTTTTGGCCTATTGAATGGAATGTGGTACAATACTACCATAGCTAATGCGGTAGTCTAACAGGTGCACATCTGGTTTTCTATGACTGTGCAACTGGTTGTTTGCATTGCCTTGGAGATAGTTTGAGTGTACCAGTCTGTTCGATTTTTGCCACATTGTTTACACGCGAAGATAAATTTGATCTTAGGTGAAAATGGCTGGAAGAAATATGCGTAAATGAATAGTTAGCGAGGCCCTCGAATATATGCGACAATTATCATGAATTCGAAAATGATAATGATGAAGAAATTGTTTTCAGCGATGATGAATATGTGCCTCCAGATGAAGAAAATATTTCCTCGGATGAAGATACTGTATCTAATTTTCCTGTACAATGTACTAGCAAAAAAAAAAAAAAAAAAAAAAAAAAAAAAAAAATCACTTCTGGGAAGAAAGAACAATGTGTAAATAAACAGTAAGAGTTATCAGATTCAAATCTAGATGAAATGAACTCTGGAACTTTTGTTACAAATGACGGAACCTATTGGGAAAACATCACCTCTGTAAAGATGTTATCATTTCTATGGATGCGCGTAGCTACGCGGACAATTCTGAGAAACTAGATTCTAGTAGCACTGCTTTAAGCGGAAGGCTTCTGCGAAATGTTTCGTCTAGCTAGGAGGAACATGTCCCGGCTACGAGCAACATTTTAAAACTTTTCCAAAAATGTTACGTCTGGAGACGTGTTTCTCGTACGTTCAACCAATCAGATGAAAGTTCAGCTTCTGAAGGATCACGGTAACTTTCAATATGGCGATGGCTCTCACTGTGAAGTCATGGATGGTGGAAATAGAGGCCAATTTAATTATTGCTGTTTTGTTCTAATATACCTGCCTGAGTCATTTTAAAAATGTTTATATATTCATTAAATATATAATCGTGGAAATTTCAGAGTTGACAGTATTTTACGACGCTCTTGCAGTTCGGATTTGTTTACAAATTGTTTGTCGCCAAAAGTTTGCCAAATTTGTATTTCGTGCTGATCGTGTATTACCACTGTTATATAATAGAATTTTATTTCCTAAATTTAATTTGAATAATTTTTTTAAATTCATTTGTATACGTGCGGCTTTTTTCCAAATTATTTATCTTTTAAATTGTTAATTGCATAATCAGTGACACATTTAAACACCATAAAAGATACATAAAAAAAGAAAAGCATAGCTTATGTAATAATGAGAATACTCATTAAATTTGTCTATTATTTTCGTGTTATTAATGAAATACTTTTTGGATTATATATACATTAAAAAGTATACTTTTATTTGTATATGCTACATATTGAAACATTGCAAATTTATGGATTTATTATTATGCATGATGAAAAACATTTGTATATACATTCATTAATATAAATCTTATTCATTACATTAATACTAATAAATATATATTAACAACTTCTAAACCATTGCATTTCTCTATCTGTATGTAAATATATGACTTATTAGATGTGTATATATATGTATGTATGAATACAAAAATGAACATTGCCAAAAATTTTATTTGAACTTACTTTTAATTCATATAACGATCATGTAATTGGCAGCAACTACAGTCATCAGTTCTTTGCAAATTATTATGGATATGTAATAATTAGTTGAAAAATAATTGATGGTTATTTGAGTACTAAAGAGTGTACACATTTTGTTATTGGGTTAATTCAAAATTATATCATATGTATGATCTGCGTATTATAAACATGACTGATAAATAATAAGAAATGTAACAGCTGTGCATTTATAAACATTTGATTACTTAAAACAGTGCACAAACTGATTATCACCTTCATGTCTGTTTACATAATAAATTGTACTTTCCAATTAAGTGCACGGGCCTACTAGTGGCCGAAGCGTCATTGAACACTGGTAGTTCTGTCTCAAGATTAGAATGCCACGAACGGGCTGGCTACATGGGCATTTTCTTGGTTTTCCCCATTTGTAACTGGTATACAAGCCAGTTTTAAAAAATCTTCTACAAAGGGATCCCTCCTGTTAGGCAGATATCCCTCGAGGCTTTGCCATAATCACATAAAACAAACTCATGATGTGCACCTAATTTCTAGAGTTGGTATAATTAATGTGTTTTAGGTGTATTACTGAGTGTTCTATGGGACAGTAAACAACTCGCACATGTTTGATTGCTCATGTATTCATATGCTTTATTTGATCTTCATTTTGCTGAATAGTATCTGCTGGCTGTGAGGATGTAAATATCAGGCATATAGATTTTTGTCATAGAAGGTCTTGTTTCTTTTCTTTTCTTTTTTTTTTTGGTCTGTTTGTTTGTTTATATTTATGGACAGAACAGTAATTATGAGCCATAAAGTTAGTCAGGAAAATGCTTTCACGAGGTCACAAATTTTCCAGTGTGCCATCAAATTT